TTAAGGTCATGATAAAGAAGACATTTTTTAGTACATGTCCAAAGTATCGATCGATCTAGTAAAAATATTGAGAAATTCTTCATAACTATGGGGTTGCCTATTATTTGGCATATGTGACGTCACTACTAAAAAGATCTATTTTGAGGAAGTTACAGTTTTAAGGGTCTATTTAAAATTACGTTACTAACCTGAGTCCGGTTCTGTTAAAAGCCGTGTATCCCCGAACTATGCGATCATTGTTTTTCAGACTGGAAAGTCGATACAACTTTGACGTGTTTGTGTCGATTCGTTATTTTCACGGACGGTGTTTTACTTTGAAGTGCCTTTAAACGTATTTAATTAATATTTTTACTGAACTATGGTGTATTCATTCAGTGATGTAGAATGGAAACAAGGATACTTTATCTCATACAGCCCGTATCACAAGTCGCATTCAGTGCTTTATCGAATAACTTAGGGGTGGTTAAACATTCAAAATTCCGGAAGTTGGAGTTATATGGAGTTTGATATTTGAGAAAGCCGGAATTTGCGCGTTATTTTATCTTCCAATGGGAGTTGAGGAGTAACAGAAAGTTTTAATGAACAGATTTTGAATGATATATTGTTCCCGTGACCTGATTTTGCGTTATTGTTCTTATTCATGGTTAATTTTGCAGATATGTATTATGAAACGTGATTGAAAAATTTGTAATTTCAGGGTGTATATACCCATCTGGAAACCTGGGAAAACCTGCATTTATCGGGGAATTTCGCAGATCTGGATATATCAGGAAATTTCTCTGGGATTTTTTTAAATTACTGTTATATTCGTCTTTATCTACGATGTGCTGTCTATGTGTGTCACTAAATTATCCTGTTAGCATTACCATTACAGTTTTTATTATATAGGGTGTCCCGAAATTCATGCAACAAAATTTGGTCATATATCCTTATGACAAATTTAGGGGACCCGTATTTTCTCTTTTTGCCAACTGGTCCCCCCTTTCGGAGTTACAGCCCCCTGAAATTTACCCCTAAGAAGTTTTTTTTTATATCTCAAAACCATGTTGTACGAGAATCACTAAATTTGGTACACAGAGGTTTTATGACATGTGGAATCTCACAGTGCTACGCTTTTTGGCGAGAAACCCCCTTAAGACACTTTTTCGTGGGCCCCCTTGTCTTTGGAACCAGAAAAATTTGGTCGCAAATTTGATTTTTTTTTAAATTATTAGTTAGCTAGAAAGCCATTGAATTTAGAAACTTTTTTGTCTCTTGATATTTGTTTCGTAAAACGCAATGTTTTTGAGGAAAATGGCGAATCACGATATGCATTCGATCACATTTTGACATTTTTCTCGAAAACATTGCGTTTTACGAAAAAAGTATAAAGAGACAAAAAGTTTCTAAATTTAATGGCTTTCTAGTGGACTGATAATTTTTAAGAAATTTAAATATGCGACCAAATTTTTTTGGCTCCAAAGACAAGGGGGCCCACGAAAAATTGTCTTAAGGGGGTTCCCCGCCAAAAAACGTAGCACTGTGAGATTCCACATGTTATAAAACCCCTGTGTACCAAATTCAGTGATTCTCGTACAACAGGGTTCTGAGATATAAAAAAAAAAATATACTTAGGTGCGGACTTCAGGGGGCTGTAACTCCAAAAGAGGGGGCCAGTTGGCAAAAAGAAAAAATACGGGCCCCCTAAATTTGTCTTAAGAATCTATGACCAAATTTTGTTACATGAATTTAGGGACACGCTGCACAGGGTGTTCTGAAAAACGCTAGCGGAAAGTCAAGGCCTGATAGAATTTCAAAAAAATATTACAATTTGTTCCTATAAACCATGGGCGTTCTTTTTCCGTTTTCAGGATACAGGGCCTTGAAAAAAAATTTTTTTTAATTTAATTTCGGTCGTATCTTCCATAAAATTCGACCCAATGAACTGAAATTTTGTTATGTGGGGTTTCTGGGGATGCTAAATGATCTGGAGATATTAATTTTTGGCTATATCATATGGATATTTTGCCATATGTGAAAAATATTAAATTAAAACAGTTTAGTTTCGTCACATTAGGCAAAATACCCAAATAAACGGAAAAAGACGGGTCTTTGTGTAAAATAATCCAAATTTTGGTTTAAAAAAGCGAAAAAAATTCACATAACATATACCAAGACAAACTCCCTAATTTGACCTAAATCTAAATCCTTGAATGATTGCAGTTCATATTAATCGTAATTTTTTCTTATAAAGGAAAATAGGCAAAATATTTGAATAAATTCTACACAACACTTTTTGATCCATATTCTATTAGAATTTATCCAAAAATTCCATATCTTTCGAGAAATATATTAAATTTTCTCGAAACTAAATAAATAATCCTCAGTATATCAGGTTGCCCGTACTCGAAATTCAGACAAGTAAAAATTGTTTTCGCGGAAATAATAAATAATAAGCTAGAATAAATGAAAAATTGCAATAATTATTAATAAGCTTAGTATCTCAATGTAAATATTTTTATTTAAATCATTTCCAATACAATTTATAATTGCCGCATTGTACATTTAAGTACATTTTCCTGCATCAAGGTAGGGTATTTGTAAATCGTCATAATCCATTAATATCCAGGATAATAACCAAAAACACTGGCAGGTACACTCGGGCAGGTAATTCTTGGGATATAAATGTGAGGTAGGAAGCTTTTCCTTAATACTGAGTTGCAAAATAAATTATTTGTTGTGTTACTTTGTGTCAATTTATTTTGGTGGACAGTTACTTTCCGCTCAATTCAAAAATGTTTCCCAAGAAGTGAAAGTGAAAGTTTTTGGCAGCAGCTGTATAATTTTCAAACTAATCATTCTCACGTTAAATATTTTTCTATGGACATTTCAGACTAAAACTAACAGAGCTTACATTGTTGCATGGAGAATTTTTCAAATCCACTCCGACTTTATAATTACAGGACATTTTTTTATCGAAAAATGCTATACACCCCACTATGAACGATTGGAACTACTTTAGTGTCAAAATCATAGAACTCTGGATAGAAAAAAGATAACAAAGGTTTAGGTTTATTTTTTAATCTACTTTCTGAAAAAAATTGAAAAAGACGAGGTTTAAACGTTCTCTGAGCCTAATAAATCGAGCGCAATTTCGATATTTTTCCCTAAAAGCTATTCCCTTTACCTTTAAAATGCCGCTTGTTAAACCTTTTTATCTTTTTTCTATCCAGAGTTCTATGATTTTGACTCTAAAGTAGTTCCAATCGTTCATAGTGCGCCCTATGTAAGTTCTAAAAAAAGGGTGTATAGTACAACTTGTACTACGTACGTAGTTATTTGAATATAAATGGTGTACCCAACGATCATTTTTTCATCTAAAAGAGAAAATCCTGGCTCGGTATATTAGTGACGCAAATCCGTATATGCTTCCCTGAGACATTGAAAGCCACCCCCGTCATTTTTTAGCAGATTAGGGCGTCGCACGAGGCGGTAGAGTTCCAATTAATCAAATTAATTAATGCCCATAATTAGGGCGGTAATTACGCGCTCGTAAATCAAAATCGTTTCATAAATAGACTTCTCTCGCGTGCCGTTCTTCAATGGGACACATTTTATGGTCGCGCAAGACGTGAACGTACATGCCATTAGCACGAGTCCTTTGTGTCAGCCAGTGGCTGAAGTGGTTGCGTTCTACACCGAGAAAACTACTTCCCTTGTTTTTAATAATCTGACAAGCTCGTTAGTAGCTACGTAGGCCAGGAAATATAGAGTTGGACGCGACTTTTTGTTTCGGCAAGCTGAATTTTTCACTATAGATGCTAAATATTATGTACAATAACATATTAGTTTCCACAGTCATAAAAATGGGGGGAAGATTATTTACAGGCTGGTTAATTGTATAATTTTTACGTAAATTCACGTTTTTCGCTTATAACTTTTTTCCGATCATTTCCACGAGAAAACAGTAAAGTCTTAAAGTAAAGTAAGAAGTAACGTAAAGTTTTTTCGTCTTCAAAAGACCTACAAAACTAGCTCTCGAGTGTCAAAAAATATTGATTAGATCAAAAATTATAAACAGAAGAAATTTATTTATGACTTTTGAATTAAACATTTTTAAACTGCGTTATTATTACCAGAACGTTTTGGCATCGCATGCTCTCATTCCTTATCACTGTCTAATAACTCATACGAAATCTGGAATCGGTAAGTTGAATAGTTTACAAGTTATGGCCTTATAAACAAATGAACTAATTATTAGTCTGGACGATCCCTAGCATCTTCCACAATCGCGCTGATTTTTTTCATGGTAGATTTCATAATTACAAACAAACAAACAAACAAAAAGTCGCGAAATGGTCATTTCCCAGCTCTTTTTCACGGCCTTCTACACTGCGAAAACTACTACGTTTGTTTTTATTAATCTGACAAATCCCTTAAACATTTGCATTCTATGATGATTTATGACGTTTTGTTAACGAATATTATTAAATATATCGTACAATAACTCCTAAAAATTTCAAATTTACAGTTTTGAATTATGGTTGTAATTATACCGGGTATATTTTTAAACCTCAAACTTTAAAATATTTCGAGAAATGCACCATATGAAAAAAATGTGAATTAGCAAAATTTAATCATTCCGCCGGGATATACATTAGTGCTAAAATCAGTACCTCTGCCCAAACCTTTATAGGTGGGGATGGGGGTTACTTTGAAATCTTAGATAGGAACCACCAGATTCGAATTTTGCTGCTAAAAGTACGTACGATGTGCCTGAAACATTTTTTTTCGTTTCATGGTAGATGATGCTGACGATTAACTTTGTTGGGATTTTTATTTGGTGTGCCGCGAAACAAATTCCCATTGTCCAATGTGCCGTTGGATAAAAAAGTTTGGCAGATACTGCGCTAAGGTTGCATTCTACACCGAGAAAACTACTATTTTTATTTGTATAAATCTGACCCCTAAGTAATTTTTAGTAGTTTTTGGTACATTATTAATTGACTCTCTCATTTCAGGCGACGCGCGAGTTTCTGGAGAAAGTGAACGCCAAGTACCGCCGCAAGATCGGGCCGGTGGCGTGGTCGATGGCCGTGCGCTTCTTGTACGCGCGGAAGTTCGACGTGGTGCGCGCGCTAGCTCTCTTCGACCAGCACGAGATGACGAGGCAGCGGGAAGGCCTGTGCCGTTTTGACCCCCTCAACGAGCCGCTTCAATCGGAGTTGCTCACCGGAAAATTCACAATCCTGGTAAGTAGCGCGCGTAGGGTCCGTTTGGAGTCGTCTTGGTGGTCGGTGAAGGAGAACGTACTCGTGTTAGTCACAGATCCAGGTTCTGAAAAAAGATAAGACTACACATTTCATCACTTGTATCATTTTAGTCACTTTTTACAAGTGAAATAGTCAAAAAATCAGTTCTAGGTTACTTTTTCAAGCTACAGTGTAGATAGAGAGCCGTTTTCGTACAAGATGTCGAAATATTTTATTAGGACAAATTTTTGACGATTAAAATTATAAGCAATTTGGCATCGATGGCTCTGATTCCACGATTCAGTGATAAATGAAAATATATCAAAGTTAATGAATCGTGTTTAAAATTGTGATATAAACATAACCTTGTCAGAAACTTTTCATAAGAAAATTTTTCTATATCTTTTACAAAAAACGGTACTTGACACAAACTGTCTCACATAATCTTTGTCTAATAATATTTCAAGATTTTTTTTTACTTTAATATTTACAGCTATGGGCTTAGACGATCTGGAGACACCCTGTATATTAGGGTGGCCCAAAAAAATACGATTCTTTTTTCGTGTCTTCTGAAAAGATTTTTAGAGGTCGCTCAAGATTTTTAAAAATTTCCTGAATTGTCAAAAATTGATTTTTTTTTTAATTTTTGTCTCGTTATTTTATCATTTTCTAGGTTAAAAAATATCTCGATTCTGAAAATTTCAAATTATTTAATTAATAATAATATTTTAATTTCTAAAAGTAACTCATAATTATTTTAAACATTTAAAACTCTTAATTTTTTCGTAAAAAGTTCTACACATTAAAATCTACAACCTTCTAAATATATACACACACATGTCATGTTTTAAATGTACACACACACATGTCACTCACCTTGTATGTAGGTACAGTCCGTACGATATTTGTAAAGATAGAATTCCAAGAAGACCCCTGCGCCACTGTCTTGGAATTAACCGCATTCGACACCCGAGGTACAGTTCGTACGATATTTGTTGTACGGACTGTATACATTTAAGATTCCAAGTCTAAAAAACGTACCTAGTGAACGTGCTTATATCTAATTTTATGTATACTTTCACCTTTTATACGGATTGCATAGAAACTGAGTAAAAGCCGAGTGTAAATATTTATTCTGGGATAGATGTGAGGTAAATGTTGGAACTTGGAATTATAAAACTTTTATCTCTTTTATTAAATTATCTACAAACATTATTAGATAATTTAATTTACAATTAATTAGGACTAGTGCCAAATTTATATAACAGTTTTGCAGTACTTTTATCATTTTAGGAAATATATCAATTACTTATTTATTTCTATGCATATGTTTTCACGCTGAGAGTTTTGTATACCTGCATAATCTTTTGATTTTATAATAGATTATTAGATAAAATATTATTTATATTTATGATATAAAAATACCTACACATATATTTTCAGTATATACTATGATATATGAGTAAAACTCACAAAAACATCTTAAAACATATCTCTGTCGACGATAGCAATTGACTGTATCGATTGCACTTCTGCTAAAGTCAGCTCGTCAAGTGGATCTGGAGCACCTTATCGAGTTTAACGATCAGAGTCATTCACCAAAAAACTCAATCCTCGTAAGTGGCCCATACGACGAGACTCGATTGGATAATTTTGTGCCTCCTCTATTGTGCATGTTATTCGAGGTTCATATGGCACGAGTTTGCAGTTGGCAGCTCCCGACTGCGACGGGACGGCTACACTAAGAAAAATGTATGATGTAAAAAATATTAATTTCGATGTACTCCTTCATTTAAAACATACTTCGTTATCTTTAAGAACCTCATACAGCCAAATGCATCCTGAGTTTTCTTTTGCAGCCAAAAAGGGACTCAACAGACGCCGCCATAGCTGTGTTCACCGCTCACAAGCACACACCCGCGAATAGCACGCATCAGACCACCCTCCAGGGGGTGGTGTACCAACTCGACTGTGCCTTGCAGAACCCAATCACGCAGAAAGCCGGCATCGTGTTCATATACGACATGTCCAACTCGAAGTACTCCAACTTCGACTACGATCTCTCCCAGAAGATTCTGACCCTCTTAAAGGTAAGTCGTTGTAGTCTGTAGTACAAGGCTTCACATCTTTGACGTCATCCATTAGTGACGTCACTATTAGTAGGTCAATCAGCCTTAAATCGCAAATGATGAAAGTCAGCGCTCGCATTGCTTGCCTAATTCAATAAATACAAGATTTATTATATGCTAAATAGTACAAAGCGTCACATCATTGACGTCATCCACTAGTGACGTCACTACTAGTAGTTCAATCAGTCTTAAATTGCAGATGATAGAAGTCGGTATTTTACCTTCAATGTCTGGACTATACTATTTTATGGAGCTAAAAAAGATAGGGGAGGTAGAATGTTACGCAAATAACCCAGTGCCATCATTACTTCAATTTGATAAGCAACAAGACTTTCGAAACCGTATTTACCGAAGGTTTACATTCGCTGCGCACTTCTCGGCTTCCCAGGATTTTTCGGACGAAAATTTCGTAGAAATCGCTCATCGTAGCAGCCCGCGCACGCCTAATAAACAATCTAAGAGGCCTTGGGCGATTGTTTATTATCGCTGCCCCGTTTTATCTCGGTTTCGCTTCTCATAATTCCCAAAATAAATATACGGAGGAGCGTACCAGGACGGTAATTAGGACTCTGTCAACGCTGGGGGGTATACTTAGAAGGAAGAGGGGAAAAAACCGCTGCGGTCGAGGAGTCTAATTACTTCGAGAATTTCTGAAGGAAACCAAGACATTCCTTTCAAATCGGCGTGTCTTGAATGCGGAGATTTGGGATGACCGCATCTAGCGTGTATTTTGTTTTTTATTTCTGTTGTACGGTCCTTGGAATTTCAGGTTCATCACCTGAGTGAGATCTTAGAATGTTTAAACAAGCACCAGAGCTCTCCTAATTGACGGATTCGAATTTTTCAAAAAGCGTTTGAAAACTTGAGAGCCCTTCTATATGTGGTTAAATTTTCAAGTATCTAAGGACCTTGGTTTTTACTGTGCAATATTTTGAAAATTTGCATTTTTTTTTTCAAAATCTGGATTGCAAAATGTATAGAACCGATTTTGATGAAATTTGGTGTAATGATTCTACATAACATGAAGTTTTCTTGAGCCAAGTATGAAGGTCCTATACCCAACTTAAAGACCCCAAAAAAATTCCCTAAAAAGTAATGTTTTTTAACCCCAATTTTAGCGATTTTTTCAATTTTTACAATAATCATGATTCATTCGATTTGTAACTAGTCATATTTTGTAAAATTTAATTACAAACATTTTTTTCCTCTTCCATTTTCGCCTAAAATCAACTCTTGAAAAGATACATAATTAAATAGGAAGAAAAATATGATATTTTTCGAATTTTTTTAACATATTGTGCCGCCAAAAGTTAAGCCCACTTTTTTTTATGCGCATAGTAAAATTTCCATTTCTATTGATATTTTAAGGCTAAAAAGCTAAAAATCTCCGTGGATATACTATTCACTCAAATATGGATTCTTTGAAACAGATACCGTCTGGACTATTGGTGATAATTGTAAAATCATTTTTTTTTTAGTTTAAATTTTGTTTATGGGCACAATACCAGTCATTTAATTTATTTAATGTATTATTACATTCGATTTGTCTGATATAAGTAAGGATTGATCGTCAGCCTACATAACCAGCAGAGCATCTGTTGCCCAACTCATTAATATTTGACAAGAATAATATAGGCCCCAGTATAGATCCCTGCGGAAGTCCCATCTCAACTAATTTGTACTCAGAATTGACACTGGATCCGCAACCCTTTTGTGAGCACATTAAATTGACATTTTAATTTCTACTGTTGAATTTATTAAGTAAATGCAATAAATATTGACTTAATCTTTTGATATCTGTGTTGATTGTCAGTTAAAATATTGTGCTCACGAAGAAATGTCACAAGTCGATCCAAATATGCGTTCTCAAATACCTTCCAGCGAATCCAGGTGAAACATTTACAGGCCTATAATTATTAGTCGCAACCATTTTTGGCGGTGTACGTATTTTGTGACACAACGTTTTTTAAAGTGGCTCGCAGGTAACCACTAACCATAGACGGGTCCGTTCTAACTGTTCAAGTTCCGCGTGGTGGCATAGAGAATGGTTCCAAGGCACAGTCGCATTCGAGGAATTCAAACTTAATTGCCATGATTGCTTTAATACTATAATAATAAGTGGTATTTCCAGGGTCCGTAATTGGCTTCGTAAATATTTTTATCTTCGAGGTTCGAAGCTTTCTTCTGAAGGAGATTGAACAATATTTCGAGAACCTTGTAAATACTTACATTCATAAAAACAATTCCTTGAAATCGAATAAAAAGAATTAAAATTTCTGCGACTCTAGTTAATTATCGACAAACAGGTCTTTTTAGGAAAAATTTAATTTTCCAAACAAAATAAAAGGAGTACAACGTGAGGATTTACATCACACCAAGTGTGAATGTTGTGAAAATTTAGTATGCCGTCTCTAGTAAAACAAAATTCATCCGCAAAAAGCACCTTGCTGTAAAATCCGGATCTTATGCTATTTGATATCAAAGCCACTGACAAAATTCCACACGGGACTCAAAATCATTGTTATTTAATGCCTAAACACTTTGTACATGATAGTACTATACTGAAACACGACGCACGTGCACAAGATGCACAGGGTCGGCGTTCATTTATGGTTAATTTTCTTAATTAATTTTCTCGAAGACACAAGCATTTAGATCATCAGTTTCTTAATAAAAGTTGCTCATTTTCGTGCCTCCTATCATCCGTTTCAAAGAACGCAGTTATTTCAGAAACACCCTGTATATTTTACAAAACAAATTTGGTTAAAAAAAGTTCTGTTTTGTATAAATAATTTTGTTCTATTAATTCCTTTGCAAATATGTCACTTAAAAAGCAAATGTAAAGTAAAACGCAAAAATAGTAAGATCTCCCTATCCTGGCTAATTTTACGTGTTGGTTTTGTCAAAAATGATGTTAGAACAAGGACAATAAAATATGTTTATTTAAAATTGTGCAAAACCGTACTTATCTTATCAACTTCGACGTCACCTGTTACATAGGTGTCGTATAACAGTGAAAAAGTAATATTAACGGTCGGTAGAAGGAAGCACAAAAAACAGGCACTTACGTAGGAAATTCTGGAAGGAAGCCTAAAGAGTTGAAGATAGGCAGTTGAAGTGCGAACAGTGTGGAGATCGGCAGTAATACGATCAGCGGGCAGTGTGTCAAAGTAGTGAAAAGTTAATTGGTTAAAGTGTCATTAGTTAGCAGGTAATATTCTTTAAGTACTTTGTTGTTAATTGTTCTATGTAATTTTGTGATTGTGATGGTTATAGATGTTTCATGATAATAATTCTTTGTATGTTTAGCTTCCATTGCTTTATGCTCTAGGGCATATATTTTTCTAAGGTAAAATTATTATAGTTATTATTAACGATTGCTCATTATTTATTTCATGTTAAAATATATATATGTATATATATGTTGTGTGGGCGCCCAGACATTACAATAATAACTCCTTTGTTTCACATCTAACTTGTTTTTGTCATGATTACGTTATACGTAAAATATAGATGTTTCATAATAGTAATTCTGTATATGTTTAGCCTTCATTGTCTTACGCTCAGGGGCGTATATTTCTCTAAGATAAAATTGTTACAATTATTATTATAGATTGCTCATTACTTATTACATGTTAAAATATGTATATTGTCGTGACTGCCCAGATATTACATTAACGACCTCTTTGTTTCACACTTAACTTGTTTTATCATTTGTTCTTTGATTTCTTGTGCTCACTTTATGTCATACGTCTATACGAGCCTTGTTGAGTTTACTAACATTTTCGCCCGTGCGGAACGAATCTGGATTAAGCTCGATTGCCTCCCGTATGGGACTCCAGTGTTATGAAGGATCTTCCGAAATCTCAACTATAGCTGGATTGCCTCCCGTATGGGACTCCAGTACCTTCCGGCTCTGCCGGCTAACTAACACCAAACCTCTTCAGTTTTACTTGGAAGTGTGTATGACTAATATGAGGTAACAGATGACATTTAGTGACACATTAAATGAGACAGGTCTTATTTATCATTAGCAAAGGTTCTTAATTTATGCCTTTGGTTAGCGGTTGTTTTGTATTTATATTTGGGTGGTAAGAGCAACGATCGTGGGTTTCTCTGCCATGCTCTTTCCCCACAGGAGCTCTAGGTGAGCCTGGCACTCTCATTTTATGTTAAATGGTTGTTAATGTTTTTGTTGTTCTTTCTATTTGTCACATGTTTAATTTGAATTGTATGTAAATAAAGGTTAGGTGTATTTACTCTGCTTTTGTTTTATATAATTAAACCATACATCCCCTCTACAAAGTTAGTAGCCAGCGCCTTCCGGTAAATTAAAAAAATAGATACCCACAACGTAGGTAGTCTTTATGACGATCACATATTTTTGGCCACAACTACATTTACTTATTTTTTGTCGAACCTAGGGTTGTTATATTACAAAATATTGATTATGTTTAGCTTTAGTACATCAGGTATTTGTTTTTCAATTAATATATACAATACTTATATAATTTTCAATTTGTATTTTACCATAAATAATTGTTTACTGGGCATTGGCTGATATAATTGAATGCTAGTCGGGGCATATAACCCGCAGAGTAGTTGATTCTCGCTATATCATCACTCATCAATTAAAAAACTTGTTTATATTAGATATTTTTTGCATGCTTAGATTTTTGATAACAAGTAACATTGACATTAGGGAAAATTTTGGAATTTCTTTAAATTAGCCTAATATCTTTAAGATAACAGATAATTCGAAACTGACTCGCGCCCCGTTTACTTTAAGAGATACCGCTTCTTAAAATTTAAGGGAAACATTTGCGAAGATCATAAAATCCTTTTTTGTATGTAATTTTTGCGTCGTACCTACGATGCACCTTTCTCTCTTACCTCGAACTTAACATCAGGTGGATTCCGTGGCACGAATCGCTGCGTATTAGTGGTTGGAAACCGTGAAA